TGACCTCGCTGACGCAACAACATGACCAATGTATGTAAAAGTCCAGAAATGCCAAAAGGATAATGACCCTTTACACTGTATGACTATCTCAAGAAATAAGGTCATGGCATTCCACAGCCTGTATATAGACATGTTGATCAGAATATTACGCTGAATCTTTTTAATATGATAAAACTTCATAAACTAAAACGAAAAGAAGCACTTGGTATGTTTCATATAACACTCTATATCAGATTTAAATGCTATTCTTATTTTTGTTACCAAAGCTTCAAATTTAGCTCTTAATTTTTCTCAAACTATTTTACATTCTCTCTCTGTTTACTTTGATTATCACTGTATAGTCTGCATTCAATTGGATGATAACTTTGTTTCTTCTTTCTCTGTTTTTCTCTCATAGATAAATAAACAACCACCAGACCTACAAATAAAATATATTATCAGGATCATTAGCCAATAAATTAGTCATAACACCGCAATTAGCAGAAAGTTCTGATAATTCGTCTGCAGTGTGTGAATAAATCAAACTTTACCAAAGAAATTGAGAGTGGGCGAGAAAATTTCTCCCTTTAATAAGTATATGTACACAGATAACCACCAAAAAAAAATGATATATAACATCTTGCGCCAATAGGTGCTGACCTTTCATCTGAAGACTGGCTGCCTCACAGTTCACTTACAGATGTTACCAGTGATCTTCTGTCTGTATGCTGTTCTATTGATTCCCATTTTTTTGCTTTTCCTAGATACACCATACAATTTCTTTCCCTCATTCCCTCTGAATGTCGGTGAAGACTATCCATAGCTTTTATTTTCTCTTTACTAGTGAAAGGAGGTTGATGATATATTGTCAGTAGATTTGTGCTGGATTTGGAGATAGGGTCATCTCTTGCAAGCTTATCAGTTTCTTTGTTTAACTTTACCACGTATGGCCTGGCATTTATATACAGTTGATGGACTTACCATGCATTTACTGTGCTTTCTGCCATGCATCTGTCATCTGGATATCAACCATTTCGAATTTTACGTAGTACTGCCTGCGAGGTAGTCGAAGATACTTGGTTGGCGATACTGTTTATTTGCAATTTTTCATATGTAAATATAAAGTTCTTAAAGCACTGTATATTACATTATGGGGTGGTAATGTTCGTAGTAACTTATTTTTATGGAACAATAATTGCAAGGATTTACAGATAAAGCTTTGTCTATTTGAAGTTTAAAATTAGATAAATAAAGAGTTTGTCTTTTCTTTGTTTGTTATGAAACACAAAGCTATCCAAAGGGCTATATGTGCTGTTCCAATGAGTATTGAGACCCGAATTTTGACCTTATAAGCTCTTAAGCTTACCGCTGAACCATAAGTGGCTAAATAAATAGTGAGATTGTGGTATATGAATATACCATATGCTTCTATCTTCTTATAATAATATTCATTCTGAATTCATTATTATTATTATTTTTTGAATATCTGCATGTTTCACATAATACATGGTCGAGAAAAGCGTTAATTTATCTTAATCAATTCTATTTGTCATAAGACATTGTGTTAGGTATTTAATATTTTTGAGCACTATGTTTTTAATCTTGTCCTTTAAGATTTTCAAGAATTAGAAGAGTGTGTAATAATAGTATTCCAACCATATGATATTCATTATATCCATTGCTGACGATACATTCCGTTCAATACAGAGCTCTTCAGGCCGGCTGGGATAGAACGAACACAGTAGTGGTCAGAACACTATTTATATAAGACATTTGTAACAACTAGATTGTAATGGTGTAAAAGCCTTTTACCAGTTGGTGAAGCATGATTATGATTAATCATGTTTGTCTTAAGACATTATATTAGGCCTATTATATTTATCTTGTTGCAAATTGCCTTTATTATTCTCGAAAGTGGATAACACCTGTTACCGCCCAAGGAGATCATTGCTTAATATGATACTGTGGAGGGATGTCTACAGCAGTGTCATCAGCGGTGGTTCAAATGATATCTAGATGTCACAGTCCTGCTTATGTTGTAATGAGTATAACCAGACACGTGGTAGCACATATCGCTGTATGTAAATGCGAGGTTTCTTGCAAACTAAGAAAGATTGCATTTGAACAGCCTAATACATAATTTCAGTTCGAATGAGTCGAAGAGAAGAATCAGTAAAAGTGACTGTCCTGTTTAATTTAACAGCATGTGTTTGTGCATCATTGTATTATGCTCTTTGTTTTAACTCGTCGAGTCTCTTTATTTTATTTTACATTGGCTCATTCAGTAAGAGATATAGTAATTAGGAATATTCCGGAATCAATATCTTGATGGTGTGGTCTATTATCTGACAGAAGTAACCGATATTGCTCTACCGTTAATTCACTTTCACCTGGAGATCACACAAAGTCAAACAATTATATAACTGAAATTACAAATCAGGCACAGTAACACTAAAAGTCGTGTATGAAAAAAATGCAACTGTATAACAAACATTTTAATGCATCATAATGAAAAATGAAAATTAGGTAACAAAAGTTTTTAATAATCTTGATTTTGTTTGTTGTTAAGCGCAAAGCTGTACAAACGAGCCTTTAGAAAAATCTAACCAAAAAGCTTGTTTCTAAATAAAAAAAGAGTATTGTTCGACATACAAACTGATCTATTTAGCATAAAAACTAATATATTGTTGCGTCATCGAGATCATGTGATTCTCACGCTCTCTACTTTCTAGAATTATCCTGTATATTGGCGAATGTTCTAGTTCTTACTAGATATAGGGTAGGCGGGTATATAAAAGAGGGGAAGGTAATGTGTGTATAGACAGTGTGTAATTGAACTGCAGTCAGAAGTATTGTTGACGTTCGTTGATTAGCGTTTGTTTTAGCGCGATTGTTGAAGTTAAGTGTATGGGTAAAGTTATATTCGGAAAGAATAAACCAGTTTTATTAAGAAAGAACTTGTGTCGCTTTAGTTTCGTCGGAACGAAGTTACGGAAAATCAATTAACAAACGGAGACGTAACAATATGTATAAACATTTTCAAAAGCTAATAAATATCGTTTGTAACACATTTTGCGGGTTATATGATAGAAATTATTTACAAGTGGCCCACTAGATAATAAATATTTATATCAGAAAAGAATAACGATTAAATATAATACAAACCAAGTTTTTTGTGTTTTGTGTCCTTTACACATTATCTATGACACTAGTTTTGCTATAATGTTACTAATATGTCTAAGAAAGTAGAGTTATATTGATATAATAAATATGTCAATTGACTGTACTATTAAAAGTTTTTGGTGGCTAAAAAACAAACTTTTATTATATGTGTGGCTTTAGCACAAAGTCACATGGGTCTATTTACTGTGCTCAACGTGGGAATCGAGCCCCGCACTTTTGCGTTTAAGATCGTAAACTTAACGCTGACCCACTGAGGATATTTATTACACATTAATCATTATTATTGATAATTCTAACAATATTTTCTAGAGGGCAGTGGGAACCAGCGCTTGAATTTAGGGGGGAAGCATTTTCGCATCTAACGAATAAGAATTCTAATTCAAGTTACACGCCCTTTTTACGTATACATTGCTGACGTCGAAGAACGGGATCAATGTAAAGTGTTATGACAGTCAACACTGATATAATTGTATAGTTTTCGTGTAAGTCAACCTTCGGAAGTGGAACGAGTAAAAAAAAGAAGGTAAAAGATTGAATACTTATTCAGTTGTTGCGTGCGTGTGGTATACAACAGCAAGAAGTAAGCGTTTCTATAATTACGTTAATAAAAATATTTTAGTTTGTAATCTTTGTTAATAATATGATATTAATAATTTAGAATATTGAGTTGGTTTTTGCCGTTATTGGCATTACTCCTTATAATTTTGTTTGTAGTCTTGACTAAGAGTAAGGCTATATTTTATTTTTAATTGATAATGATAGTTTATCTTCACACTGAGTGTATCAAACTTTATGTATTGCTGTAAACTACTATTTGCATTAGGATAGACAATTTGTTTTAATCAATGTATGACACTACATGAGTACATTTTGCATTCTTTCTATAAAAGTGTAAAATGTGACAAAAACATAAAAAAAGGGAAGATACTGTGTAGAGGGATATTGTTATTATTAACTCATAATTGAGGTTGTTTTGTTAATGTTATCGTTGGTTTAATAACTTATTAACAGTACTCGGTAGGATTGTACGTGTTCCACGACTCGTGAGAGTGAAATCGTTTTACAGACCAATGCTTATTAACTATTAATTATTACTTTAATTTAAAAGTTAAAGCATAATTTTGGCCTATTATGAATTTGGGCTCACCCGTAATAATATTTACACTTACAAAATCAGTCCATCCATGGTCACAAACTTTTTATTATTATTATCATTCACATAACACATATAATAAAACTTCTTCTCTATTATATAGTTCATTAAGTCTGTTAACTCAGCTTGTAATTAATAAGTACTGAAATAGATAAAGGTAAGTGTTGCAAATTTGAGTTTCAACTCTGTTAATAATAATAATAACAGTGCTATATAAGGATATAATTATTTATAATAGTAACAGTTTTGTTAATTTTTGAACAGTATACATTCAAAATTTGTCTGCGAAGACAGCAAAAAGAATTAATTTGAAACTGAAGTTTAATAGATGCAGAAGCGAAGAATTTAAATTTCAAGAAATAAAAATTCTTAAACAAGCCTTTTTTCATGTTGAATACACAAGAAGGCTAAAAAATTAGCCAAATAAGTGAAAATGGGTAAAGGCTGGATAAGCATATTATTGCTTGGACAGGACATGTAAATAGCACAAAATGCTACATGTCATATATTATTTGTTTACACTTACTGTCTCCTATAGTAGTCAGAGAAAATTATTTTAAGTGTTAGTTTTTCTGTAATGTCAAAAAACTCTGAAACAGCAGAGCATATATTTCCTTGGACAGGGCAGTTAATTAACACTGAATGTCATGTGGTTAGGTAACTCCAGCTCTCCCCTACAATAAGTGAATAACCAGAGGAAATTATTTTCAAATCTGTTAGTTTTTCTGTAGTATGAAATCTGTTGTGGTTTTTATAAAGCAAACTTTCCAGACCA